TATATATATAATTATTTTAATTTTTTTTTACATAATACTAGGTTTGGATTTGATCATTTAATGCATATTATATGATTTCAGACTTCAAGCTTGTTGGTCGTCATGGCAGCGTGTGGAGGATGTAGGTTCTTTGTCCTCACTTTAAGAACTCTATGTGGAACATCAAGATCTGCATCACCCTGTGTTCTGCCTTTAACTAAACACAGGACTTTGTCCACCTCTCCGGGAACTTACTCTCTAGACCCATTCCCCTCCGGGTCAAGGAATACTCCGGCTCAGGTAGGCAAACCAGAGCGAATTTCTCCATCCTCAGGAGGCGTTCAGAGGAACCTCTCTGCTATCGCCTTGCCCCTGCAGGGTCAGTTTCGACCCCTCTGCCGGTATGACCCTTTAGATTTGGGTGATGTGGATGAGAACACTAAGAAAGCACTGGCCTGTAAAAACCTGAGACGGTTCATCGTAGACCCTTCCCTTGCAAAAATCGTGACCGACCACCTCGCTGGAGACATTGATGATGGGAAAGCAGTTATATTTGAGTGTAACCCAGGTGTGTGTTCCCCAACTACTAATTAAATGCTGTCAGTATTTGTTAAGATATTAATGTGGGTTTTGACTCTGTACGCAGGTCCTGGGGTGTTGACACGTGCTTTGCTGAACCGTGGGGCTCAAAGAGTAGTTGCCCTGGAAAGTGACACAAACTTCCTTCCTGAGCTGAAGGTAGATGTCCAAAACGATCTCATCTCATTCTGCTAACTCTCAGCTTTTATTTTCCTAATAAATATTTATTTTATCAGGAGAGACTGATAGTTAACGAGGGCGTTTGCTGCCGCAGCATGGGTAATGAATGGTGTATAAGCTGAATGAATAGGCATGTAATGGTCAGAGTATTTAAGCCATGGTCCAAATGTGTATTTAAAGTTATTTTCAATAAAGGGTATATGAATTAAGCGAAGGAAATGTCTGATCAGAATAGCCACGTGAAATGGCTGCTAGTAGTCTTTTGCTTAATACAGAAAACATGTAAAATTTCCTTGTGCTGGTTGATTATGCATACATATATAGTATATGGTTATATTGTGTATTATATATATATATATATATATAAATTTTTTTTCTCCAGGCAGGAGAAAATCCACAATCTAAAAACTGTTAAGACTGTTTTATAAGTTAACGAGTAGTACAGTGAAACGTATTTTTCTCTATTATATTCTCTATTTCCCTACTGAATGAATTAAATACATACAGATTTTTTTAAAGCTACAACAGTTATTCAGTACGTACCCTTAGGCCATCCAAGATGTAGATGAGGTTGTTTCTTCATCGGAACACATTTAGACAAATTTAGCATTAAACCACTTGCTCACCAGTGGATCCTCTGCAGTGAATGGGTGCCGTCAGAATGAGAGTCCAAACAGCTGCTAAAAACATCACAATAATCCACACCACTCCAGTCCATCAGTTAATGTCTTATGACGTGAAAAGCTGAATATTTGTAAGAAACAAATCTGTCATTAAGAACTTAACTTCAAACTGTTGCTTCTGGCTAAAATTAGAGTCGACTGTCCATAATATACTGAATCAGGAGAGAAATATGCACAGATTAAGTGCTGTTTACAAGCCACAACAGTTATAAACAAATATGTCAGTGGATTTTGATGAGAGAGGACAACAGGGTAGCATTATTATGGATTATGAACTGGTATTTTGACCAGAAGCGATGGTTTAAAGTTAATACTGGCTTCAGTCTTAATGATGGATCTTTTTCTTACAAACACGCAGCATTTGATTTCGCAAAGACATTAATTGGTGGATGTAACAACGTTCATAGTCACGGGAAGAAGGAGGCGGGAACCGGCGAACATTTAAAGATTTTAATAAAATAAACAAACACAAAACGAAAGTAAAGCGGCAGCCCCTCGCGGACGACTGCTGCACACAAAACACAAAATAAACTCCAGGCCTGGTCCTCTCTCGTCCGACACTGTCGTCACTCCTCCCTTTTATCCTTCCGGAGCTCCTCCGTGAGACTCGAGACCGGTGAGTGGTGCAGGTGTTGCTCATTATCAATTACTCCACCGGCCTCGCTCCGTTCCCACGGCTCTCGGCCCCGCCCCACTCGTCACAGTGGACTTGAGATTACTTGTGGATTATTGTGATGTTTTTATCAGCTGTTTGGACTCTCATTCTGACGGCACCCATTCACTGCAGAGGATCCACTGGTGAGCAAGTGATGGAATGCTAAATTTCTCCAAATCTGTTCCCATGAAGAAACAAACTCACCTACATCTTGTATGGTCTAAGGGTGAGTACATTTTCAGCAGATTTTTATTTTGGGGTGAACTATTCCTTTAAAACCTAATGCACTGGTCCAATGTACTGACACACATTCGATTTTCTCCCGACTCTTTACCTTTACTTGATTATTAAGGACATCAATGTCAATGTAACCATGATAGATATATTAATTAAAAAACAGCACAACCCCAAAATAACCTTTGATCTTAAAGGACCTGGAGCGCAAACTGGATGGGCAGCTGGATGTGGTTCATTGTGACTTCTTCAAACTGGATCCCATCGGTCACGGCAGCATGAAACCACCCGTCATGTACTCGGACAAACTCTTCTCTGACCGTGCCATCTCTGAGGTTCCTTGGTCAGCAGGTTAGTGCCCTAAACATTCAGATTAATGTGGAAGGGAAGAAAGAAGGACATGGGATAGCATAAATAACATAAGGATAAGTAAACTGTCCCTGTAAGAAGTAAATAAATATGTATTTTTTTCCCTTTCTTTCCATTTCTGGATCAGATGTTCCAGTGAAGATTGTGGGGATCTTCTCACAAAGAAATGAGAAAAACATACTGTGGAAGCTGATTTACAACCTGTTTGAGCGCCACTCCATTTTCCACTACGGTCGTGTGGAGTTGATCATGTTCATCAGCCAGAAAGAATACGCGGTGAGTTCACATGACTCCATGTGCGAGAAAGTTTTAACTATACACAGGGTGTCCGCGGGTCCTTAAAAAGTCTTAAAATGTCTTAAATATCGTTTTCCTAATATAAGGCCTTAAAAAGTCTTAAAATGTCTTAAAT